CCCATGCTGCGTGCATTGGTGTATATGCACTTGAGCTGGGCTATCGATTTCGCCCCCAGCATCGGCACGCCACCCCTAGGCTCATCTCTAGTGAGCCTGGTTTTATCCCCTTCCCCCTTAATAGTCTTGTGTTTTCTTTTATGAATTTTATAACTACAGTAAATGCTGTATTCTATGCATAATAAAGGCAACCTGGATGTCTAACTCCCAACTCTGTTTTATGTGAAATTACGTTTTTATTTCTGTTTTGTAATAAGCCATCTCCCCCCCCCCGGCTATCTGAATGCATTGATAAGTGATACTAAGTCATGCAAAACATCTAATGTGTGTATTCCCAAAATGCTTCCTGGTTACTTGAAAATTAACTTGGAGCATGTTTATGGTCTTAAACTGTTTCAAACTTAAAATTTACACTAGCATAAGCTGTGCTGATTAGACTGCAGGCTGCAGCTATACTAGCAGGGAACACAGTTCAACTAGCAAAAATGGTGATGTCAGGATGGTAAAACAAACCACAGCAAGATGACGGTTTGTGTGAGTGTCTTGGTTTAGGTCCTGTAGACGTGTTTTGAGATTAAGCTATACAACTTATAATCACAATTTTTGCTAGTGGAACTGTGTTTCCTGCTAGTGTAGCTGCAGCCTGCAGTCTAATCAGCACAGGTATGCTAGTGTAAAATTTACAAATTATTCTCTGGCTATTGCATTAAGGAAGTTAAGATACATAGTTAATAAGTAGCTTTACCTGGTCTTGTCTAGAACTTCAGCCATTTGACTAAATCTGCTTCTGACTGACATAAATTAGGTGCAGTGTTGTTACCGTGCATCTGTCTCTTTTGCTTGAGTTCTGGTGGTTAAGAAAGTATCTGAAAAAGATGCTGTACTGCTTTTTTGATCTTAGACTGATACAATGCTGTGGGTGGGGATATTGGTTATTCTACAATGTTCTTGTAACATTTTTGCTACAAAAAAGTAGCAAATTTTTAGAGTTGTCTGACTTGTGGCAAGACAACATTATGGTTTTTGAGGAGAGGACTATATGCTGTTTTCAACTGAAGAAATACCATTGTTGACCATAAGTAAAAGAGTAAGTTTTCTTTGTTCTTATTTTTTACAAACACGAGAATGCAAACATATTTTGTAGACCAAACCTGTCAGCCACAAAATAAAACACTGATAAGCAAGCTCGCAACGTCATGAATAAAGCTTATCAAGATTATTGGCAAAACTAGACTAGGTGCTTCCAAAAACTGGGAAGAGTGTGATGGTCAGCTTTTTGCAACCAAGCTTCTGAGATCCTGACCGCTGTATTAAAATCAGTAATCTTGGTAAGTTGTCTGGTTTGCTGTGCCAGGTGTGGCTTGCAGCTGGTCAACAGGTCATAATAAAGGCTGTGGTATATACATATATGACAATTAAAGGCTTGGGCCAACAGATAACTGTTAGTCCTTAATAGATTAGGAAAATACTGCCTATAAAATACATAAAGAATTAAAATCTTGGGTCTGTGGTCCTACCCTTTTCTGTCATGTTGTCCATGCTGCTTCTCTGACAGTGTATTGAGACAATTCAGTTGGCTAGTTTGATAGAAAAAGATTATCTCATTCTCCTCCCTGGGTTAACATCTTTCCAGACTGCCACCTGGAACGGGTTGTGACAAACATCAGAGTGCCTTTCGGGGGGCAGCGATGAGAAGCAGAGCCATTTGATGCCCACCCAGGGAAGAGTGGGGCTGCCCCCTCTTGGTGCCAGCCCTTGAACCTGCACAGTGGTGGCATCCAAGCAACCCAGTAAGACTCACTGAAGGCAACTGTCTTAAATGCTTTCCTGCGTGAAATTTGCATTCTAAACCGTGTGTATTCTTCTTTGGTTTTAAAAGCAAGGTGGTAGTGTTTGGTTTTGTACAGTTGCTCCAGGCATTGAAGCATTTTCTTGAGTTGTAAAAGATCTCACTTCAGTTTCTAGAGAGATTCAAACCCACACTTCCTAGGAGGAGAGTGTTGTACCTGCCAGGGTAGAGGGATGTTTGCTGTCTGGATTGCTGCTGTTGATCTTGGTGCCATTTACATTCTCATGCAAAGATCCTCTGGATAGAGGGGTTAAATGAATGTAACTTCAGTTTAGTAGTGTCCTTGAGGCAGTAGTTAAAAGGATGTATTCTAAATTTTCACTTAAGAGGAAAGTAATGTCTAACTTCAGTCTTTCACTTGTAGATAGTCTGTGATCCAAAGTGTTACTAACAAAAACCAACTGCATCTTTTTGTTGTTGGCAACCGTGAAGTAAGTTGGTGTGAGTTAGTAACATGCCATAGAAATAAAATCATAAAAGGGCACAAAGATGGAATGTTTCTCACTTGGAGAAACTGAGCCATTTAATGAAAAAAATTAACCAAAAGCCAAGTTTTCCAGGTCTGGGCTGTGGATTTTTGTGGAACGCAATGTGAAAAGAACTTGAACTTCTGTTCCTCGTTTTGTACTGCTTTTGTGGCAATTCTCTTGGTTTTGGTTTATTGAAGAGTAAAACTAATTTACAGCTGTCATCCGGTCTGTAACAACCGGACATTGTGCACTGGGGGTGGGCCAACCTCTGACATAATGCTTAACCCAGTTACAAAACTGGGGTCCAATTTGCAGTACAAATTGGACAAATGTTGTAACAATGTAATGGGATCCTCTGAAATGGAAGCATTTCGTTAATGTAGGCAGGCTGCTGGCTTGTTCCCTTTCTTTGGATCCAAATGCATCAGAATGTGCTTGATTGTTTGCCTCTGCACCCTGCTGTGAAATAGCTTAGGCTGAAGTGTCCAGTGACAGTTTACAAGTTACAAAGACAGCTTTTTGGCCACTGACCCTCCGCGGGAGTCTAATCTTTGTTTTGTAGATGTCCCTTTATCTAGGGAAATTACATCTAAGAGAAGAGGTGCTGGATTGCTTCCTCATTGTTCCTCATTGTTAAAGATGACCTCCAAAGAATTTTTACAGCCTGATTCATACTTTTCCTTTAGGGTACACTGAGAAAACAAGGTTTTCTGTGATTTTCCTCCTTCCCCTGTTCATACATACCCTTGTTTGCTTTGGTTTTGACTGTAGTTTTGGAGAATATTTGGAATGTTGCTGTGGATGTTTAACTCCTTAATTGAAAAAGACAGCTCAATCATTGAGAGAGAAAAAAAAATAAAAATCCCTCTTGAATCTTTCAGTATTACTATTTTGTTAACTTTTTAGCTGTGGCCTTCCAACTTAGGGGCAATTCACAAATCTACTTAAAATGTATGGGTTTCTTATCTCTTCTGCTTTGCTTTATGCATAACGAAAAAAGCAGCCAACCAATGGATACCCCATATAGTTAATAAGTGACCCAGCATGGGTTAGCTAGGCCACATGTATGGATGACACTCAACAGCAGTCTTAACTCATGTGACACAGCGTTGTCTGACTTCCTCCTCCTCTTTCCCAAACTGCATATGCCTGCCTTGCGTTGGCACTGGTGGTTGCCTGATTTCCCCGGTAAATGGACCAGGGTGCCACATAGGCAGAAAGTCAAAGAAGACTGCCTCCCCCCAAAAAAAACCCCAAAGCACAAAACCCAACACCTTGCCAACAGCTTACTGTTGAAGAACTCAACTGATCATCAGTACTGGTGCTAGGGAGTAAGGGAACCAGATGGGCGATAGGATGATGCCAGTGTCACCTGAGAATAATTGAAGCTTTTGTGTGATGTTACTGAATAATGTTGGTGTTACTATACCATTTCGGAGGGACTACTTGTGACAGAACCTCCCTGCCAGAAGATAGTAGTAGAAATACGATGTGCCAAGAAAGCTACATTTTGTTTAGTATATCTTATTTCAGTCAAGGTAGCCAGAATCAACTATTTTATAGGCAAAAAATCCCCTCCATCACCCTATATAAGCTGTGTTCTTAGCATGAACAATCTGCCCATGGATTGTACTGGGCGTGCTTTGCCATTTGTACCTGTGCTAACAGTTGTGGAAATGGAGTTGTGCCTATTTTGTTACTAAGGCCTAGTCTAAGCAACTTTGGATTTGGTAAAGTTATTCAACCCATAGGTGGTTTACTGTTCAGTTAGCTTTGTCATTCTACTGGCATGGATGTAGCTAGCCAACTAGTGATGCTGTTGTAGCTGTGATGGTACATGGACGCAGGCAAGGCAAAGTTTGTAGATTGAGACAGTATCTCTTACAAGACTTTTCAGGCACTCAGACCCTTTATTAAACATTAACGAATGTTCTGAGAAGCGAAGAAGCGATATAGCCTGAAATTTTCATGATGACCTTTTGTTCTTTTGATAACTAAGCTCTGTTAGGGAGAATGAGCTACTTTATGAAGATTCGTCCAGTGTGTATACATTGCTTATGCTAGTTTAATGGATGCTTTGAAGAGGATTAGCAAGGAAAGAGCATACAGTGGATGCCATTGCTTTCCTGAACAGGTAAGTTTGTATCGGAAAGGCTGTTGGATCCATGAGAGGGGAATGGAGGGGGATGCAATTTTCATTCTTCTTCCAAATACCAGCTACAGGCAGAATGAAATACCTTTGGAGGGATCATTCTTGTGCTGCTTATAGGAGGAACATACTGAGAAGAGTTGAATGCTGGAGAGATTGCTTTGCTTATGGGTAGTGGGAGGTAGTCTGACTGTCTGGGACTGTGTTTGATCCTAAAAAGGGAGTGTCAGATCTCTTCAATTTAACTACAAACACTACCCTTAGTGTTCTTTCTTTGTTTTGCTACCATGTGGCATTGTTTAGCTTAGGTAGAAAACCAGTCCTTGTGCCAGGTGAATTCTGGGAGGTTAGAAGGGCTGTATCACTTAGCCAGGGGAATATTCAGGAAGATTGTACAAAGAATAGTAGCATCATCCTGTGGTGCTTAAGTTTGCGTAACTACTCTTTCCTTGTCAACTTGAGGGGTGAAGCAGTGTCCTAAATATGCTGTAATTGTGGATGTTGACTCCTCTGACATTGCACAATTGCAGTGAACTGCTGAAATAGTATTGCCTTCTGATTCTGTTTTGAGAAAGATGACGGGTGTCTGTCCACAGCCTGAAACTGGCACTGACTCTCCTCGCTGTGGGGTTGACTTCTTCTGAACTGTGGTGGAGTGAGCAGCTGGGAGTGATGACCACTTAGGCTATTGTAGGTTGTGTAGTGGCAGCAACATATTAAGTCAACTAGTGGCGTGCTACATTTTGTGTTTATAGGCTGTGTTTAGAACTATGATAGCATTAAACTGGTAAGTCCTTTCTAAAAGCTGACTTGGCCTTTAGAAGTTTTCTATATTAAAAAAAAAACAAACCACCACCCAAACTCTGTAGATGCTTTTCTTAGCTGATTTTAAACACAGCAGGAACTCACTGATTGATCTAGATGCTGATATTATGCTTATTACATATGCAGTCATTAAGTAGATTAAGTTGTACATGGTAACTTCCTCTTTAAATGGAAGGTAATTTTAATGAAAGCTTTTAGTTTGTTGCATGCTACCAAAAAGTTAAAGGACTTACATACAAGATTTATAATCTCAGTGAAACACAAAACAATCTCTTCCAAGACCTTAAGTGTTCTATAGCTTTCCGTTTTCTAGTTTTTGTTTTCATGAACTTAGAGACAGAATGGGGCAATAAGTCTCTTCACAATGTTTCAACCATCGTCTTCTGGCTAGATGCTACTGACCATACTTAGACTTCCTATTTTCTTAGGAAAAGGTTATCCTAGTCATTCAAACCTTTCACTGAACTGTGGAGTCATAGAAACTTTATCATAGAAGTGAAAGACCATCTGTGCCTTTCCTCTTCATAACCTCAGACTGCTTTCTTTCACTTGTGAACAAATGGTTCTGGCTATTTGCACTTTTCTGTTGGCAACTCCATGTTGCACTCAGGCATGTGTTTTTGGCTTTTGTAGTACATTTTTAAAAAGGACTAAAAACCAGTAGTGATGCTTATGGACTATCTTTTGGCTTGCTTACCTTTGCATGCTCAGTAAGGGCAAGCATATTTAGCACTAAGAGGATCCTGCATGAAGGACAACATGGAAACATCTTAGTTCATTGAGCAATTCCACTGTAATTTCAAGAAACAACGACTTCTATTTATGCAGGGCTCTACAGTTCAACTCTACCGCTGAATGCAAATCTCCCTCGCTGGAGGTGAAATGCATCTTTTATTTTTAACCTTAGTGATTGCTTGGCAGCGAGTGCTAGTGAAGTAAATCTCCAAGGCCTGATTTAAGAAGTCTCTTGGCATTCTTGTGTCTTCTTGTAGTAGAACAACCTTTTGCAAGCATCTTGGCCAAATGTGGTTAAGCCTGTTGTGTTGGTTGTTACTGTGTCTCTGAGCATCGCTCCCACAATGTCATAGAGGTGATGCAAGGACATGCTCTTAAGCAATATAGCAAGTAATGCAGCACACAATGGCAATTCTATTGCTTAAAGCTGGTAGAAGGAAAAACTAGTAAAACTTGCTGGTTAAATGTCTAATGCAAATTGAACAATCCATGAAATTAACTATGGCTGTTTCAACTACCTACCTGTTTGAAATGTGTGGAATATCAGGTAGGGGTGTGTGTGTGTTTGTAACTGTTGTTTACAAACAGCTGCTCTGCTTACTTGCCTTTTTTTGGTTTTAGCTACAGCTTCAAATTGGTACAGCGTACTGTACTGCAATTAGTCTCTTAAGTTGCCTTTTAAATTAAGACACCTGATAAGTTACATTTCAAACTGTAGTTCTTGTTGCATACTCTTTTCTTTCTTCCCTAGATCAGTTTTGCCAAACGGAAATGTGATGATGTCTTCATGTTTCTTGCATAAAAATAGAATTGTAAATTGGCTGCTTGGAATACGACAAAAACAGTCAAGATTTCAGTTGTTCTGTGGCTTTCTAAATGCTTGTTCTTGGTCTCAAAATCCACTTGCTCAACTTCTTCATTGGGCTTCCTGTGTAATGTTGTTAAACCTTGGCTTAATTCTCATGGGTGATAGTCCTGTGCTGTGGCTCTTGTGTTTACCAAGTAAACAGCTGTGGCCATTTTAGATGTTACTTCTCAGACAGAGGTTACTGACCCTGTAGTGGAGTTAGCAGGAAGGTGGGCATACCATCTGCTCTGCTGTCATGTTGCAAACTTACCTTCTTGGGTGATTAAAGCAGTGTGCCATACTGAACTCGGACAACTGTGGTATTGTGTAGTTCTGCAAAGTCTGTAACCTGCTCATTAGCAGCTCCCTCCTCTGGGGATTGCCAGGCAGCTGAGGGGATATAATACTACAAACTGCTGCAGCGAAATTAACTATAGTACATTTGTCAGAGCTAAGAATTATCTTCCAGTGATAATATGTAAATGAGATTAGTCCCTGAAAGGAAGTAGTACATTATTTATTGGCTTTTTGGAGGTGACATTTTATTACAAGACTGCCAATATCAATCCTCCATCTTATATTTTTAATTTGCCCTCCTACATTATGACAAAGTTCAGCATGTTTTATTGGGCACTAAAATTCCAATCTAATTATGCACCCTGGCAAGTTAAAACTTGTTAGATGGGTTATCTTAATGTTACATGTTAGTCACATTTAAGCACTTAGGTGCTACAGTAATAGAATGACTCCAAGTGATTAGTACAAAACGAATAGATTCTCATTCAAAGTGATTCTGAAGCCTCAGATGAGCGCTAATTCATTCTGATGGCTTCTGGCACTCTGATTTCAAAGTGCTCTGGCTGTTGTGCCTCCCAAGGCAACCAGTGTCAAACAGGTGTCTCTTGACTGGCTATTGGAGTGACCACCACACAGTGATGTACAAGATAAATAGGTAACCGATAATACTCTTGGATGAGGGCTCAGATTAACAGGTTACAGATTACCTAAACAGATTATCTAAAATTACATTAGGTAATTTTCTGCAAATTTAATTAATCTTCAGCATCTTGAGTTAAATTTACCCCAAATCCTTTTTGCAGTGTTATAAGTGTAAGATACAGTTACTTTTCTGAATAGAAAGCATGGGTTATGGTTTTCTGGGGGAATTAATCTGTTTCTGATTGCTGTGATGGAATGAATGGTGTTTAAATCTGTCTGGTTTAATTCCTTATACAAGTAAAGGTACAGACCTGTTGCTAGCAGTAATTGTGAACATGTTAATTTAAGCAGGGGAAGCATAATCACTGTGTGTACTACTGCCCTCCTTACAGTCTGTCTAAAGTTAGTTGGTGCTTGAGCTCTGCTTGTTTGCTACTACCTGAGCAGCTGTACCAGTACTTAGTGTCCTAGTTTTGATGAAATCTAGCCCAGATGATTTGAAATGAGCTTTATACCCACAAAAAGCTCATAATTATAGAGTGTCTCTGATAAGTAGTTTATTTGTAAATAGTATTAGCAGCCCAGTGTTTGCAACTTTGTAAAAATAAAAATAATATTTTATAAAAACACCACTGTGCTTTTGTGAATTTACTGTTTTATGGAGCTCGCTTTCTGTCATCTTTCAAAGTTGTATTTAAATTGTGTTTAGGATATGAAAGTATTGGTGGTCACAGGATGAGAATTCATTGTCCAGCACTGTAGAAGTCTATATAACTGATCCTGTGGGAGTTTGGGCACATATAAAAGCAGTTGTCGTAGCTGTTTGGTAGCTTTTAAGCATGCTCTTCTTCCAGCCAACTCTTACACTCTTCTTTTTAACTTCAGTTTAGTTATACAAACTGTTTGTCTTTCAGAGCCAACGCATAATCAGCCAAACCGAACCAAGAGGAAGCAGAATATTTGAGAAGGCTCCCAGCATCTCATGAATGAACTAACGGAACTCGATAATGCTGGTTCTCCAGAGCCAGGTCTACGGCTCAGAAAAGGACACATGTCTGACACTGCAACAACACAGGAGGCAGCCTTTGAAGAGGACAGCTCTGAGCAGAGGCTTCTTTTAGTGGAGCCACCTCTGTCTTCTGACCAGGAAAATGTAAGTTGTATGATTATCTGTTAGGTTTGCTAGGAAAAAATGAGGTTTGGCTTAAGTGCTTCAGTGCTTGAAATAAGTTCCAGAAATGTGAACTGTGAGCCTACAACGTCTTTATGCCTGTTAAATAATTGTAATAAAACCAGGAAGATGCCAGAAATATTCAGTTGAATGTGTGGGAACTTGGGTGACAAGACAGAGCATAAATGTAAGTTTACCAGCTTTGTATTTTTTTATTCCCTCCTCAAAGAAATGGGACTTGTACTGGTTTGTTCTCTGTTGAGAAGCTGCTCATATCAAAAGATTTTTGTTCTGTAACTTCCAATTAATTATAAGTGAAAGGAGAAGATATATTGACTCTTGCTGAATGTAATCTGAACCTTGGCTAATCGCTATTGTCTTAGAGATTAGGACAGAAAAAACTGTTTGCAAGTATTCTTGTTGGAAGAATGGCCATACTGAATTAGACCAAACATCCACAGTGTGCAATATCCTATCTCGGACAGTAGTCAGTAAGAGACTCGTAAGGAAGAGTAGAAGGATGGGGAAGCATGTTGTGTTACTTCCCTAGGACATTCTCCTAGCCTTTAGTAATTGGTGGCTCACAGATTTCCTGAGCCAGTGGCAATGCTTTTGAATTTCTGGTGCATGAGCCTTTGTAAATTCTAGCAGTCACGACATCCTGCGGAAAGGCGTTCCACAGCTTAATTAGGTGTTGTGTGCAGGTAATGTTTCCAAGCATTGGACAAAAGTACCTTCTGGTTAGAGAGTTTCAGAACTGTAATTAATGCTTCTCCTAGGATATATACAGATGGATATCAGCACAGTTAAGGGGAAGAGGCATTCAGCTTAGGCTCACTATTAAATTTATCATGGCTTAATGAGTTTACTGTATCAGCTCAGTTACAGCAACTGTGTGGTTTTAGCCAGCAGCAAAAATATGCTGATGCTACTTAACGTAGCCTTCAATGCAGAAGAGTTGGGCTGTTGCTGTAATTGCATTTGCCACAGATTCTGGCTCTGTGCATGGACCACTTGTCATAGTTCAGCTGACATGAGAACCTGTATTAGGCTATCTTAACTTGATTAGTTTGAGCCCTTACTGAATTTAGTTTCAAGCGTCCTTGTAATGAGAGTCAGAACAGGTATTCATGGCTAATAAGCCAAGCCAATGCCCTGTAAGTTGTACACTGCTAAAACTCCTATAGGACATTCTCAGTATCATGATAACGGGAAATACCCAGTTTCTCTTTCTTTGCATTATGTGGAAGGTCGTAAAGCATGTGTAAAGGTGCAAAGTGTTAACCAATAGCTGAATTAGCTAAGGTTAGAAAAAAGAAGAGTTGAGTTGTACTAGCAGATGTTTTGAACATACATATGTTTATCTGACAATGTGTTTGGGATCATCTTTTTTGAAGGCTGTTTTCATTCTTGTCTCTGACTTTCCTGGTTGAATAATGTGAGTTACCTGTTGCCTGCAGATGGAGTAGCCCAAAGTAAAAGCCCATAACGGATTATGACCTATAATTCTTTCTGTACATTTGCTTCGCTAGATAGAAGTTATTTGGTTGAGTCAAAGTGTTTAATTTTAGAATTTTGGAAATAAAATGGTTAAAATACTCTCATTCTCTCTTCTGCTTTTTCAGGCATTCTTAGCATGTTAGTTGTTTTTTTTTTTTTTTTTTTTTTGCTTTCATCCTTATGACAAAAGTATGTGTTTCTTTTGCTTTGGCTCACTACAAATATTTAGCTTTTTTGTATTGGATGTCATCTCTCTTTCCCAGTCTCCTAAAATGCTGCCAAAGAAATTTGTTTTTGCCATTTGGGCCTTGCTGTTCTGTCTTGAACTGCATCACTTTCTCTGCCTTATACGGCCTCCTGCTTTTTTGACTTTTTTTTTCAGCCTAAACTTTTATTCCTGTCTTTTGTGATTCTTGTTTTTTAATACTGTGATATCTTTACATTTTTTTCTTCTTAAAAGGTTGAATAATTGATGCTTCAGATGGAGCATCCCAAAACACTCTGCTGTCAAAAGTACCAATATTAGCTTGCCAAATGGACTTTATTATGTGACATACTGCAGTGTTCTAAATAATCTGGAAAAAACATTACGCTATATATCTTCCTCTGTCTTGTATAAGCCTCAGCACAGCTGTTACTCAGATGCCAGCTAGGATTCACTTTGTTGCTCTCTGTCCATTCTGGCTACGTGCAACTGCCTCAGTAGAGATGACTTATTAGTTCAAAAGCATGATTTTCTTCTGGTTTTGAAAAGACTCTTGTTTAGATAACAGTAATATAAGGTTATTGTTCTTCCGTAGATGGCAATAGTACTCAGGCACACATAGCCTTATAAAAGGACTCAAGTGGTGCCCGCTACATTAGTATTCTAATGGCTAAATGCAGCCACGTTGAAGCCGATGGTAACAATCAAGGAATTCCTATGTTGGAGAAGGAAAATGGATGAGAACTATATAGTGTCTTGACGGTAGAACAACCATGGTCATCTAATAGGCTTTTAAATGCTTCTACTTATGACAAGCTAATCGTATCGACTTTCTTGAATATCATAATATAGATGTGCTCTTATAGATGTGATACTTCCCCAAAACTCCTGGGCTTAAGACTTGAGGTATTAGTGTAAATGTGTGTGTTATTGCATTGTTTACTTTTCCAGTTGCCTCCTATTACCCTATTTATATCATTGCAGCTCCTTTATTTGTACAAAATCTGCCCCAAACTCTCCTGTACAAGATTCCTTTCCCTCTGCCTATTTGTGTATCCACTTTCTGCTCTACTTGTAGGAGGAAGCAGTCTGAGCTCTCAAGAGGCAGTAGTTGCTTTTGATGAATTATTTTAATAGTCTTTTCTAAGGAGGTGTGTGGAAGCATACCGCTGTATTGTTCAGAATTATTTCCCATCTCCCCCACAGCTTGCATTGTATACTATCTATTTCTGATTTTGATGGGCCAAAATATTGGTCCTCTTTAGAAATAAAGCATCTTCATGGAAAAAAAAATGGAGGTGGTATTAAGAAATCAAATTTAGTCCTGAAAGTTTTTTGAGGCCTTTGTCCATGGCACCGGTAACCTACCTGGGTGGTTGCATAGCTGTGAACTAAAACTTACATTAAAGATCCTACTTTCTGTAAATTGTGGCATGCACTGAATACATGTAGCAAAGATTTACTAGCTGTATTGAGCATGCTTATCCAAAATAATAAAACAGCTGCGTCCTTCTGCCAGTGCTGTTAATCTGCCAGTTTTATAATGATGCTTACAAGAAGATACGGATCATATGAAATCAATATCCTTTTACACCTGAACCTCTTAGTCTGTATTTTATGCCGTAACTCTGTGTTCTCTGCTAGAGTGCATATATGTTCATAGATTATCCTCTCTTCCAAGTATGTGTTCCAAAGAAGAGATACATGTCTTGCTATCTTGTTTAAACATGCAATTAGTGTAGTGGCAGATGAGTGGTGTACCTTCTGTGACTTTGAGAAATAGTGACCATTTATCTGAATGTTAAGGATTTGGTGGTGAGAAAAGGATCAGGCGAGCTGCGTAAGTCTTCTCTTTCTTTCAGCAGTTTAAACTTTTTTCCTTTCTCTAGTTTACATTTGCTGGGTATGTGCTGATAAGGCATTTTTCAGCAGGTGCTTCCCTCCTGTAGCATGCTGGATTGTCCAGCCTCTGGGACATGATCTTTTCTCCTCTCCCAGTGTTTCTGTGTCTCATCTGCCTTTGTAATTCCAGCAGTGGTAGTTCCTAAAGAAATCTCCCTTACTGTGGCTTTGTTAAGCTGATACAATCATATGCATGTGACTTCTTATAACCTGATGAATGGGCTCTTTATGCAGCCCTAAAAACCTGTGCTTGACTCTTTCCTTTTATGCTTTAACCTGTCAGTGACAGGAGGTAAACAAAAGAACCATTTTCTTTGCCTTTATTCCAATCACCAGGCTTTAGTGTTCCTGAATGATGATTCCTTTCATGCAGTTGAGCTGTTGTGCAGTTGTCCTGTGTGGCACAGAAATGCACCCATGAAGTGGAGACCTGTTGCTCTGAAGTGTTTGATAACCTACAGTAAGGGTTTGGGAGGAGGTATGCGTAGCCCTCAAGTCATCTGAATGGACAAATGAAGTTTGGGCAAATACTCATCTGGATTGCTTCTTAGGGAGCATGGGTTTTGACTTCAAGTGGAACTTACTTGACCTCTGACAAATTTCATGGTACCTGTGTGTAGCTAAAAGAGTCTTTCTAGAGCATAAGTACCAAAGAGACTTGAAGGAGGGAGACAAAAGGATGTAACAGTTTTTCAGGTGCAAAAGAAAAGTTTTAGAATATTTGGAAGGTGAGCAAATGACTCAAGGCTTTTAACTTGAATTATAGAACTTACTCAAAGCCTTTTCTGTTACAGAAGTGTGTGTACATATTACCTACAAAAATAGTTTCGGTATTGACAGAAGGGTGCATGTAAACTCATGGAATTGTCAACTTGTCTTTGTGGTGCATGCTATCTGAGTGAAGAAGACTTAGGTGAAGTCTTGAAGGCCAAAGGTAGACATTTGAGCCTTAAGAATAGTCTTTCTGGAGCTGTATTTGTAAATTCTGATTGCCTTAATTTTTTTTTCCTTTATAGATTTACTTGCCAGTTTCTTGCTCAGTTTGAAACCATTTACCTTTATTTTCAATCTAGCATTTTACTATCAGTACTTGGAGTTATGATTAAAAACTTGGCATCCGCTTCTGTATTTGCCTTCTTCCTGCATTGCATTACAGGTTTTGTTGGTAGAGTTTGTCTTCTGAGTGTGTAGGGGAGAGGCCTGGCATAACAGAATTTGAGGTCCCACCAAAACAGTTTGCTTTTGTTTTAAAGCAGATTATGTTGAAAATTTGTTGTTCTGTAGACTTCTTTATCACCTCTCTTTCCTCCATTTCTGCAACTCCTGGGAAAGCATGTTATTTCTTTGAAAGCATGTGAATTGGCATTTTACTTCA